CTAGTTGTAATTACAGCATGAAAATGAATTATTTCCAATAATTGCATGTCTTTTCCTATCAATGTTTGAAGTAGAAAAAGCCTACTCAAACGTTAATAACAAAGAATAACTACAATATCTATTTGAAATTCTTTATTTTTATTAAGAAACACAACGAAACAAACGTCAATAAAAAAATATCTCAAGATTTTCTATTTTGTTTATGTTGATGGAATCTATGTAGTCGAAATGATATCATTTTTTTGTTTATTTTTTTTTCAAATCATCAAGTATTTTTTGTATTAATTTACTGGAAACCTTGTGATACTGTCGTAAATGTGCTTTTAATTTACAAAATGGAACGAAACGTTTTCTGCACGATTGAATGGCGAGATTTTCTTCAGTATATTTTGATGAATTGATTTGTTCATAAGAAAAAGGACATGGGACATTATAAAAATGATTGATTACATCTTCATCGTCATCAAATAATTTTGTTATCCTAGGATCTTGATTATTGGCAACAGCTCGTATTAAACGTGGGACATAAACTTCTTTTAATCGATGTGTGTTTGTGAAATGGCTATATAAAGAGAATCGACGGTGTCTTTGATGTTCACATAATTTAATAGAATGATTTGCTTTAGTAAGACCATATGCCCCATCAAATGTTAATGGACATTTATCAATCAATTTTCTGTATGATATTTGTCGACGTTCTTGTTTTTCGTTTACATGTGGATTCTGAAAAAATAAAACTAATTTCAATGTATGCACAAGTCCCAAACCGATTTTATAATAAGTATCTTGAATACAGAAAAGCGTTAAAAAAATTGAGGAAGGACAAAACATGAAACTCACATAAACTGATTTCATGTACTATTTTCTGGAAAATCAGATGTTTAATACTGAAAGTAGAACTTATTCATGAAACAAAGTTTATTCATGAAAATATTTGAATTCAAAAACTTCTCTAATTTATACGTACGAAACTCATGTCACTAGTAAAATGGTATTCTGATTAATGGTTTTCAAAAAACAGATTTGTACGATGCAAATATTTCACGTATTCAGAAAACTACGAATCGTTTACTTAGAATCTGATCAATTCAGAAATTCTTTTCTAAATAATTTCTATTGAATGCACCGTTTTTATTTTAGAAAAATTTTTGAATCAGGTCTATTCCAATGTAGAACAGTCTGGGTAGAAAGAATATACAAACGGTTCTTTCACCTACTAAGCTACAAGGAGAATTCAATACAGGTAAGTTGCATCAAAAAAAAATTGAATATGTCGAGTCGAATATTTTCCTAGCTTAATTTCGTATTTATTTAGTGAACATGTTTATCCATGAATAGAATTATTTTTACCTCAGTAGTTGTCGTCGCTGCACTAAATGAAAAATACATAATCGTTCTGAAATTTTTTTTCTCATAAAGCATATACTTACTCAAGTGCAATAGTATCAATAAAATCACGATTGATATCATTTAAATTTTCATCATCTTAAATCATTTATATTTGTTTTTTCTTTTGAAATTAAAGAAAATTTAACTTACTTTTCGAGATTTGCAATTCTTTCGGTCCATCTTAAACATAGAAAAAAAAATTTAGATTTTGTAGGCTTTATCGAATTCTATGCGGAAATTCAATCCACCATTCGAACTTATATTAGTTCAATAAAAACAAAACTCATTTAAAGTGCAAAAAAACATGGAGAAAGATGTTCATCCATTGAAATATTAGAATTGTATTAAATAAGAACTAGCCTAAATTAAATTTATTTTCAAATACAAGTTCTCAACTCATTAGCATTTATGGAACCGTTGAAACAAATAAAACTAAATAAAACGAAAAGAAAAGATTTTATAGAGAAACTTTATCTTACCATTGGAATTCATATTTTGCTTATTACATATACAAATACAAGAACAATATTTAGTTTCTGATAATAATGGTTCGACTTTTATCATGATTTCTTCTTTAACAAAATAAAAGAAAAATATATTAAAAAAGAAATAATATTATTTAGTTTCTACCTGACTGATTTGATTCTATTGTTTGATTAATATTTTCAAAAAGGTTTTGTAGTTCATCAAATGAACTGCTAGGCATATCGAGAAATCTTTCTGCTTGTTCAATCAAATTTTGTTCGCATTTAATAGTTAATAGTTTTTCTTCAACAATTAATTTAAGTTTATTTTTAACTATATTTAGTTGATTACGAATATCATCTAATTGTTGTTTATTTTGTTTTTTTACTTCAAGATGTGTAATTAAATGAGTTAAACAAACAAGACGTAAACAACAATAACATTCAAATAATTCTTTCATTTCATCATTGCATGTTATATCAGTACATAAACCTAGTTCGAACATTTCTAAAAAACAAACAAACATGAATATGTATATCTGTGATATATCGTTGACATATTGGTTGTTTTCAGAATGGACGAAACCTTTCATATAATTCACACTCGTATAAGCTGACTAACACATAGACAAAGGACTTTTTTATTGTTAGTCCGAACGCCGAAGAGAAAAGGAAAAGAAAAAAAAAAGATAATGTCATATGTCATGAAATCATCGTTTGTTTTATTGAATAAAATAGTGACACTACTAACCAATAGATATGGATAATTCATCGTATGATTTTGTTCTCGAAATTCATTAATGAAAGAACATACGAAAATGTGTAGAGTTTCAGAAATTTAATTTTCTCTAAGGCAATTTTCAATAGATACAAAACTACACAACGAGAGTTCTAATATATATTTCATAAACTAAAATCGAATTTTTTTTCACATGCCAGCCACTATTTTTTGAATAACTCGACAAACGGTATAGTCATCGAGCGGGGTGTAGGTGAATATAGAAAATATTAGTACCCACACCCCATCTTCCTAAATCTTCAAAACCTTTTGATAAAAAATTACGAAATAAATCGTAAACATTAGAAGAATCCTGAAAACTTTGTACATTTAGGCTTGATAGAAAATCTGGAGTTTCCTGTTTAGGCGAAGAGTTTAGGCGAAATTGAACTTTTTTTGTGAATGCAAAAAGTTCAAATTTTAATAAGAAAAAGATGTGATCAGTATAGGTATGGATATGCATGGGGTTGATCTTGACTTTATGAATGTAGATCGAATAGAGACCTTCTTTTTGTTCAGATCTAAAATCGAAAAGCAACAAAAAAACACACACCAAAAGAAGTTTTTATTTGGTCGAGTTATGTTCTTGAGTGAAGAGAACAGATCATCTTTTGTTCTGTCTGCTCTTTGAGAGCATTTGCATGGGTTGGCCATCTCAAAAAAAAAGTGAATATGTGGATGTTTGTTTAATTTGAAAATAATACAATGACTCGTATAAAGACAAAGTAAAAAAAAACATTTTGGGTTGTTGCTTTTCGAAATCATATCCATCAAAACCAGACTTTTTACCAGTTGCCATAGGTTTACAATTGATAAATGAGTTGAAGGAGTTGTAATCCTGGAAGAAATGAAAGTTGTACTCGTAAAAAACTAACTGTTATTGATGATAGGTTTGTTTGAATATTTATTTATTTTAATAAATTTTAAAGAAAATATTTTTCTTAGTCAAAGTAATTAGTGGTTTGTTCAACATTATCAAACTGGCTTGAAAAAATACATTCCAGCTCTTTATGTTGCATCATGTGGTAGTCTCAATGTCAATGAGTAAATTTAAATTTCAAAGAAAACAACATTTAGAAAAGAAAATCTTTAAATTCATTTTTGTATTCTAGAGGATTTCATAAATAACAATTAACTACATTTACCTATAAGTAGATAACAATCAACGTCGATATGTATTGTATTTTTATGTTGAAGGACGTGACACATGTCTGATGTGTAAATGCATTATGAGCCGATATTATAGCACATATCACCCATGATTTATCTTCGCAACAAATAATAATATCCGTGCAAATCAATGACTAACTCTCTGAACTATTTAGGGCATACCAAAAGTAGTGGCCACCGCATCTTTATTTCGTATAGAAGGCTTAAGAAAAATGTCTTTTTTTATGAATAGATAGAGCGTCGTTTGCTCTATTTTTCTATGCTATTTGATCCCTATTCAACTGATATCATAATAGTAAAATTTCGACAAGAACTGTTTTTGTTGAAAACTAGCTGGTAACATTTGGATCATGATGGGTGGAACATTTTTGCATTTCATTTGACTATCATTTAATAGGTTGTATTAAAAAAAAATTATACCACAAGATGCAACATGAAAAGCTCTACAATTTATACAATACCGCTTTTTGTATAGTTGCACTTTTTACTTTCAAAATCGATAAAACTTGAAGTGACAACAATAAAAGAAAGAACTCATCACGTACCAAAAACTATCTTTTTTGCAGCGCCGAAATTTAGTTGCTATAAGTTTTGCCGCTCTTGAAAACAAAAACTCCAACTGTAAGAAAAGGTGTCTCATGTAAATTGTAGAGCTTTTCATGCTGCATCTTGTGGAGAAATCATCTTGTGCCAAAAACAAATGTCGTTTTCACGCGGCTGAAATTTGATTGCTCAAAACTTTGACCATTTTGAAAGCAAAAAGTCCACCTATAAGAAAAGCGATCTCGTGTAAATTGTAGGGCTTTCCACGCTGTATCTTGTGGTATATTTTGTTTTTTTTAATACAGCATATTAAGTGAATGAAAATTGAAATGCAAAACGCGGCCATTCATCCTACCACACCCGTTATCTTATCAACATGAGAAGTTTCTTTTTTTGTATAGAAAACCTTAACAATTCTTTCAGAACATACTGCGAAAGAACACTAAAATGATTGCATAATATGTTTTCTGTAAATCAATACGCATTCTTTAATAAACAGTTGTTTCTAATTAATTATTTCTCAAGATTTCTTTTAAACTCCGAAATGATATGTCGTTATCACGACGGGAGCAAAATGTTGTTCATACTGAAGTTAGAGTCATTATGGACTTAAATACTAAAAAAGTCAATAAATTCCAAAAACTTTGAAAAAAATTTGATTTTATAAGGAAGTCTTCTAATATGTCTTTTGCTTCATGTATTCAACGGAGTTTTCTAATGTGTCGAAGGCTTTAGTGGATGAACTTGATCGAATTTGGATGAAAATCTTCGAATTTCTCATTTGTGATTCACCCAGTACGGAATGTGTTTTTCATGTGGAATCACGATTTCCGAGCATCCACAGCAGAGAGATATGTGCTGATGTGTGCCGTAAGGATTTCCGCGGCACCTTCACCCTCACGAAGGATGTCTGTGTATTTTTGTATTTATGCGAAATCTCGGAAAACTCGGGTAATATATATCAATTCATATGATTTTTTTTCCTCACAGAGATTTTATTTGCCAAGTTGAAACAACTCATCATAATGTGTTCTCGGATTGTTCAAACTTATTTTGAAACGATTTTACTCTTAGCCAAGAAATTTTTCAAAGATCACGTATTAATCGGAAAGAATTTCGAGTTTTCATTTTTTCGATCCAAATTTCACAAAGACATTGCAGTTTTTAGATAAAAAATACTTCAAATCAGAACGTTTTACACTCTCAAAATGAGCATTGAGCATTACACTCTCAAGAAAAATGAAAAATTGAAAGTTTCTCATCCAACCTCGATCAACTTCATCCGGTAGAGAATGTGTTTTTCATGTAGAATCACGATTTCCGAGCACCGTCAGCAGAGAAATATGTGCTGATATGTGTATGATGAAGATTCCCCTGGTGCCCTCACCCTCAGGGAAGGACGCGAATGTGTATGTGTATTTATGCGAAATCTCGAAAAATTCGAGTACAATATATCAATTCACACGATTTTTTCCCAAATAACTTTGTTTCTATTTTTCATGGAAACGTTTTATTTGAGAAGAAGAAAGATCTTCAAAATTCTTATGTTTCATTTTTTTTTCTCTCATTTTATCAGGTAATATATTTCAAATTATGAATAATGTGGAGAATCTTTTTTTCTTCTGTTTAAATAATTTAATTAAATGTAAAAATGTCTTTAACTTTATTCGATTGATATAATTTCCACCGTCTTTACATACAAGAAAAAGATCTTTTTTATTGTTTGTGAAACATATGATAATAGTTAAATCAGTAACTTTGCCAACTGACTGTGATCTGTCTATAGAGATTAACATAGAAGAGTGGAAAGTATTTGTTTTATATATTAGATCAAATTAATTGTTTAGATCAATAGTATGAAGATTGAGCGATTGTCTTTTGCTTTTCTAAAATTTGATTTGACGAGCTAAGAAACAGAAGAATTGAAGTTTGAAAAGGTATTGAAGAAAGAAGATTTAACTAATAGGCAGCGGTGTCACATATCCAGAAAATCGGGGATGCAGGAGATGCGAGATATAGCAAAGTACCTTATAAAAGACTATTAAGTTATTACAGGTATCTTGAATCTCTCACCACATCTCTCCAGGAGATGCGGTATCTGCTGCATCTGCATCTCCCAGCATCCCCTGATAAAATTTTTTTTCAATTTTTAGGCTGAGATCCTTGCGGGAGATGCATCTCCAATAGGAGGTGCAGTATCTCCTGCATCTCCATCTCCTAGCATTTCCTAATAAATTTTTTTTCGATTTTTAGCTTGGAACTATTGCGAGAGATGCATTTGCGATAGGAGAGGTCGCATGCCATTTTGTATCTGTCCAGGAGATGCGACATCACTCACATCTTTATCTGCTCTCATCTTTGATGTTTTCTCTTCAAGTTTTACTGTAAGACCAAATGTGAACTGGACCGCCTTCAATAGAGGTAGTTCACTTACCTTAATGACTCTTTCGGTTGTTCTAGGGTGAAGCAACGCATGTAGGGAAAGGTTGAAACTCATTTACTAAATTCTGGTTTTCAAAATCAAGTCATTTTTGTTCGATAAGATTGGATTACAAGGAGCAGTACTATTCGAACGAACAATCGATGCCGTTGTTTATAGCAACTCATTCGAGTCACGGCTTTACTTCCCGAAATGATAGGAAGTCAGATCGTTTTTGTTCTATGGATTTCATCACGAGCCTTCCAAATCCAAGAGTTACCATTGGATGGCTGCATGGAGCAGCCGAAACTCTGACTTCTTTCACTATCATGTTTTATTAGTTCGCAAAAATATCTCGAACCAGCAGTGACCACGATCCAAAAATTAGCAATTCAAGAAAATCAAGAAATTCTAGAAATTCAGGAATTTTCTTAAATTTCTTGATTTTCTTAAATTCCATGAATTCCATCATAGTTTAGACTTATAGCTTACTACTCAATGTATGTTTGCGAAATTTCTTGAATTGCTTGATTTTCTTGAATTCCATCATACTTTAGACTTATAATTCTATGTTATCCCTAGACGAACTTTTTTCTTCCCTTCTTGATTTAGACAGTTCTTAAGATGAGGGTTAGGCCAACAAATCGATCGGGGTCAAAAATATTAATTCCAAGCGGAATTTTTAGCTTCAAGTCAAAAATGCCTCACTTCATAAGGAGATACATTTTTTTCAGTGAAAAAACCAAAAATTCATAGTACTAATGAAGACTCCTATATGAAAAATGAAATCGAAAAATGAAAAAATGATTTCTTCTATAGGAAAGATTCTTACATACTATCATACCCAGATATATATTTTATTTTTCAACAGAAAAATGAAAATTCATAGTAATAATGATGATTTCTATATGAAAAATGATATGGAAAAATGGGTGTGGGTGTGGGTGTAAGTAGTGGTGACAACGTACATACCCAAACCCACATCCATACCCACTAAAACAACATTTATAGGTAAATATTGAGCAGATGCAAGTGAATGTGTGATTAAATTAATAAATCAACAATTATATTGTTAATTTTGCATTCATGCAAAGATCCTTCGAGACAAGATATATTACATATCACCTATTGAGAATTGATTAATTTCGATTATATTTCAGTATATCTGCACTAGGAAAAAACAGTTTTATCCTTTTATTAAGAGAGGGTGTGGATGTGGGTGTACGAACTGGTCAATAAGCTTTCCACCCACACTCACACCAATGCGCTTACAATAGGTTTTCTTATGTATTTCTTATAGTGTAAAATGATACCCACACTGGCCATGTTATGTAAAGATCGACGTACGAAGATACATTTATTTACACAATGATTATTTTCATATGAATAAAACAACAAGAATGGAAGTCCATTCTGATTTTAGCAAAAAGCTTGGTTAGTCAATAGAAATAAAACGAGAAAATAAAAAAACTGTATGAAATAATAGTAACTTTAACACATTTCTATTAGAGTTTCTACATGATCTGTGCCATAGCAAGCAATGGCAATGCCCATCCAACCATCTTGATTGAAGTCTTGTATTGCAAGCGAGTATGGAAGATATCCATAACCTAGAGTATAGATAGTTTCGTTTCCGAAAAGACCGTTCCCATATCCATAAAGTAAGAATATATTGTTAGTACCAGAATTCGCAATGGCAATATCCGGTATATGATCGTTATTAAAATCAGCTATGGCAACTGTATATGGTCGAGAGAGAGCACCTGTTGAGTATGTTGCTCGAGTTACAAACGTTCCATTACCAGAACCTAGCAGAATAGCAATATTATCAGCTTCAGAATTACTAACAACAATATCCAATCGATTGTCGTTATTAAAATCAGCTATAGCAACAGAATATGGAGCAGAACCAACTCCTGTTGAATATGTTCTTATAATATCAAAAACTCCATGACTGCGTCCAAGTGCAATACCTACATTGTCGGTACCATAATTAGCTACGACAATATCTGATTGACCATCGTTATTCAGATCACCAATAGCGACTGAGTATGGCTGTGATCCAAAGTCCATACTATATAATGTTACACTGCCATAAAGTTCTTGGCCATATCCAAGAACGATGTATATATTATTTGATTCTAGATTTGCCACGGCAATATCTAACTTAGTATCATTGTCAAAATCACCAATAACTAACCCCCATGGTCCAGATCCTGGACCAGTTTGGTATGGTGTTCCTAGTAGAAAACTCCCGTCTCCAACTCCAAATAACACAACAATATTGTTACTTCCATAATTAGCGACAGCGATATCTAATATGCCATCATTATTAAAATCTCGAGCTTCAACATGTTGTGGAGCAGAACCATGTCCAGTGGAAAATATTGTGACAGGAGTGAAAGTGCCATTGCCATATCCTAGAAAAATACCGACACTATTCAGATTAAAATTACTAGTAGCAATATCAAGTCGATTGTCTCTATTGAAATCTCCAATAGTTATCCAAGATGGCCAAGATTGATAACCTGTTGAATAATTCACTTGAGTTGTAAACCTTCCATTTTCATAACCTAAAAAAATAGTGATACTACTAGTACCATGATTAGCAACGACGATGTCCATTTGACCGTCATTGTCAAAATCACTAACATCAACAGATATAGGGAGCGAATTATCTCCAGTCGAGTAAGTCACTATGGTATTAAAAGTTAAATTGTCACGTCCAAGTAGAATACCTATATTGTCAGTAGCATAGTTGGCCACAACAATATCTATTCGGCCATCATTGTTTATATCGGTTAAGACGACCGCAGCCGGACCAGAATGTTTTCCAGTTGAATATCTTATCATGCTAGAGAAACTACCATTACCATATCCAAGAAGGATACCTATGTCATCAGTACCTGAATTAGCAACGACAATATCCAATTGTCCATCATTATTAAAATCATAAACAGCCAATGATTGAGGTGTTGAATTAGTTCCAGTCGAATAAGTCATCATGGTACCAAAACTTGCGTTACCGTATCCAAGAAGAATACCTATGTTGTTACTACTGGAAAAAGTAACAGCAACATCTAGATATTTATCATTGTTGAAGTCACAAGTAATGATTTTCTGTGGTCCTTGAGTATTATTACTGGAATAAGTGTTTCCACTTTGAAACGATGTGTAATTGAATCCAAGAAGTACACCTATAGTATCTGTGCCTGCATTAGCAATAACTAAATCTGATCGATTATCATTATTAAAATCACCCATAGCTACTGCCAATGGATATGAATTTTCTCCAGTTGAATACATCCTTGGAATATCAAAAGTTCTATTACCATATCCCAATAATACACTGATACTATTATTCTTTGAATTAACAGTAACTATATCTAAATAATAATCTTTGTTAACATCACCAGCGATAACATATCGGGGATATGAATTAGTACCGAGAGAATATGTCACTTGTGTTTTAAATGTACCATTACCCGAATTGAAAAGTATATCTAAATTATCACTTCCTGAATTGACGATGACTATATCTATGTAATTATCATCATTGAAATTACCAACAGTTACAGAATAAGGTTGTGGAGCTGAACCAGTTGAATATGTTTCTTGATTTGCAAATTCTGCAGCAACATATTCAGTTAAAACACCAACATTCCCAGTACCCCATAGAGTAACAATGATATTTATTTGATTGCTGTTCCTCAGCTTGGCAGTGGTGATGGCATACGGATTCGAACCAAAACCAGTAGAATATGTCCTTGCAAGTTGGAAACTGCCGTTTCCATATCCATAAAAGATAATTATTTTGTCATTTATAATATCAGCCACGACGAAATCAAGGCGATAATCATTGTTGAAATCAGCAATAGCAATGCCGTAAAGAGATGAAGTAAAACTAACCCAATAGATTGTGATTTCTTGAAATGTTCCGTTTCCATATCCGAGAAAAACACCTACAAAGCCTCCATCTAAAGTAGTGACAACAATATCCAAATGATTATCATTAGTCAAATCAGCAAGTCTAATGACATTTGGACTAGAAAAACTGCCAACATAATACATCATTGGATTAGAAAAAGTACCGTTCCCATGTCCGAGAAGAACACCCACATTGTTAGAGCCGGAATCAGCGATAGCAATATCCAATTTATTATCGTTGTTGACATCGCCGACAACAACTGTTATCGGCACAAAGATAATATCAGTAAAGTACGTCATGGCGTTAGCAAAAGTCCCATTCCCATGGCCAAGAAGAATACTAAAACCGCCAAATCCGTAATTTGCAGTGACAATATCTAATCGATTATCATTATTAAAATCTCCAACAGCAACTGAAAACGGTGTAGAACCGAGGCCCACAAAGTAAGTTGTCACATTAGAAAAAGTTCCATTGTCTTCTGCAAGCAGAATACCAACACTATCAGAACCAAAGTTTGCACTGATAATATCCATTCGATTGTCGTTGTTTAAATCACCAATACATAAACATTTTGGAGCTGATTTACTTCCAGTCGAATATGCTCTTGTTTGCTCAAAAGTTCCATCATTATTACCAGTTAGTATTAGTAAATTATCATCGTTGAAATTATTAACCAATAAATCTGGTTGATCATCATTGTTAAAGTTAAAAGTTACAATGGAAGACGGGCGAGAATCTTGTCCAATCCTATAATTTCTTTGTCTTGTCGATGGTTTTATAAAATATTTACTAAATACAAGTACATCATTAGTACCATAGTTGACTATAGCAATATCTGATTGATTATCGTTATTACGGTTTGTAACAGCAACAAAGAATGGACTAGATCCAGATATTGCATCATATGTTGTTATTGTAGCAAATGTTCCATTATCATATTGTAGAAGAATATGTACTTGATCGTTTTCTGAATCAACAACAACAACATCTAGTTGATTGTCCTGATCAAAGTAACCTACATTGACATAGTGTGGACGACAATTGGAACTTATCGAAAACGTATTTTGTGTTGAAAATGTACCATCCTCATATCCAAGAAATATACCAATGTTGCCAGTACCAGAATTTGCAACTATAATATCGAGATAATTATCGTTATTTAAATCTCCGATAGCCATAGAAGATGGATTCGAATTCAGAGTAGTTGTATAAGTTTTTTGATTTCCAAATGATCCATTACCATATCCAAGAAAAATACCAATATTGTCAGTACCATAATTAGCTACAGCAATATCTAATTGCTTATCTTTGTTGAAATCACCAACCACTAATGCATATGGAAGAGAATCATAACCAGTAGAATAAGTTATTTGATCTTGAAAAGATCCATTATCATTTCCAAGAAGAATACCAATAGTATTAGTACCATAGTTGGCTACAATAATATCCATTTTATTATCATTATTGAAATCACCAATAGTAATAAAAAATGGACGTGAAGAATTAAGTGAAAATACTTTTTGATTAGAAAATGTTCCATTTTTATTTCCTAAAAATATCCCAATGTTATTCGTACCATAATTAGCAACAGCAATATCTAAATAATTGTCATTATTGAAATGATTAATAGCAAGCGAATGAGGATTAGAGTTGAATCCAGTTGGATATACTTGTTGATTTGTAAATGTTCCATCGTCTTGTGAAAGAAATATTCCAATAGTATCTGTACCAGAATTCGCTACAACCATATCGATTTGATGATCATTATTAAAATCACCGACAGCAACAGATCGTGGCTGTGAACTGAAGACAATTGAACTTTTCATCATTCGTTTAAAGGAAAAGTCACATGTTTCCTCTAAAATAATACAGTTTTGAATGAATTAAATATCTATGATTGATCATTATCATCTATTTATCAATTATATTGTTTCACTCATATCAAAGTTAGATGAAAACAAACAACATAGACATATCGATGCTATTCAAGGGGGGGAAAATCTCATTCCGAGCCATTCGAATGACTCAAAATGGCTCCGGACGGCTCGGAATGTCCGAATAAGATTTTTTTCTTCTTGGTGCCATTAGTATATAGAATAAAACAAATTCTATGATTATTTTCGTCTCTTTCATTTGAAAGAATTGATGGTTCTAGTTGAGAGTAAATTCAAAGCACATAAACATTTTCTTGATCTTTCAAGTTCTCACCTTCTCTCACAACACAGATTCATCATTTAGAATAGTCTATATTGACTGAAACTTTCAGAAATAAGTTACTCTAGTGATAAATCTCATGTTCTACGAACGACTCGAAAATCATCGATTAGACGCGATTCTGCTGTTTGATTTTTTAATATCTCACTCAATGAATACTTTTAAACTCTTAGAAAAGTGTTAGATGCCAGTCGAAATTGTGTTGTCCTTCTAATGTGAGCTCGCTCATGACGTTCTGTATTAGCTACATAAACTGTTTTTGCCTAGTTTTCTAGTTTGATTATTTGTTAAAGATGAGACCACAAAAACAGTCATCAGTAACAAGACTTAATTAATAGGAAAAAATATGGCGTCATTTGATCAAATGTACCATGGCATATTGAAAACGGCTTTTTCGGTAGCAATCGATCTCGTCAAGGCAGAAAATATTAATTTGATAGAAAAACTATCAAAGACTTGATGAAAAAAAAAAACTAAACTGTTCAAACCGTCGATTTTTTTTATAAACAGCTGGTAACAGTTAAATTTGATGAAAAGTTAACGACATAGGACGTTTCTGATAAAGATTTTGGCTTTATACGTCAGACTAGTCCGAACTACGGGCTTATTAATAGTCCATTTATGACATTCAACAGAATCCCGATAACTTCGTTACTACAAAAAGGTCTAAAGCTTGGGGTGACTTCCAATTGAAGTCAAAACCTGCACTCAGTTTTTCCGCACAAAATTTTGAAATTCGTGTACTATCATTTTAGTACATATAGTCTTAAAATAACCAAAAAAAGATGACTTCAAGGTACTAAATCTTGTTTTTCTTAACAGAGCACTCAACTATAAAAAATCTAATCGGACAAAAGTTTACTTGCATTTAGAACTTTAAAACAAAAACAAAACATTGATGATATCTTGAATCGGGTGAGAGGAGTTTCAATTATTTCTTATTGAAAATCATGTTATAAGAGGATCGATAAAAAAAATTTTGACACAGATGTTTTTTTTTGAAATTCAGCAAAAACAATCATTAAAATGGCATATTCATAATATATTTAAGTGAAATTTCTAAAAGTACATAACAGATTGTGTAGGCTAGCGCCATCTATCCTATTTTAATAACATAATAATGTGTATTCAATGCTGATACAAATAGAAAGACAGTATTCTCAAAACTAAAAACTTTCAAAAAAAAACCACGAAACTTTCTCGAAAAACAGGGTAATAGAATTGAAATTTCTTTCAAAAGTTAATTAAAATTTGAACTTTTTTTTTCAAACTTAATAGACATTTTAATAATCATATCATTTATCAAAATAACAAATGAGAAACATACTTGATTTGGGTGAAGTAAAACATACTATCAATATTCCGACAACAATTGCTATACTGGTGAATATTCCAAACAAACAAACATGCATGCCAGTTAGTTTTACATGCGAGGAAGATCTTTTTTGTCTTAATCAAAGAAGAAATTTTGATCTGAGTCAAATTAATATTATTAACAAAAATACATACTGTTCTTCACAAATTTGATTGAAGTCTTCCTGATTATAAATATTATTCGATTCAGTTGTCTGATGAGATATGTTTGACATTGTAATGAATTCATCATTACGATATTGCCCGTCCGATGAGAGTTGAGTATCCATAAAATTTAAGTCAGTCAATCTGTAGTGAAGAAAATAACTGATGAATAAAATCTAATTATTAAAAAACTCTCAGTCATTAAAGGATTAAATATATATTTTCAATTATATAAACATCTGAAAGTTAACATGTTTATCTGACGAGTGAACCTTTACAGATGATAAAGAGTTTTTCGAATGAAATTTGTGTCATTAAATAAGACCTACGTAGAGTCGACAAAATCTATAATAATTTATTCTCTTGTTGCTTTCTTCCTAAGTTATGGCTATTTTCTGAATTTTTGATTTCGTGCATTGTACATAAAGAAAAAATCCATATCGAGATTTTGATCTGAAATTTTTTCCATAAAGAAATTTTATCGCTCCCTATCATACATCGAAAATTTCGATTAGGACGAACGTTTTCTTCTGAAGATACAAGATGTTCAATTTATTTTGAAACGATTTTCATAGACTTATTCTTCCTTAGTAACTTATTCAGATCTCATGATTCTCATATTAATCTATCTCACTAAGACTGTACATATTGCTTTAATAATCAATTTTTGTATAGAAGAATGTTTTGTGATAAAATAGTGGATAGTTTTGAAAAGGTCATTTTAAAGTTTTTGAGACAAAGCATATTTGTTGGTACCACTAAAAATGAACTTTTTCGATTATTTCTCTATACTATTGTCTTTTGACTAGGGGTGACACTTTAACTTTAAAACACTTTGAAAAAGTATTAAAATTTAAAGTAATACTTTAAACTTTAATTAAAGTAAAACACTTTAAAACTTTAACTGCAATAAAGTCAACATTAAAGTCGATAAAGAATGTCTTTATGTCCTTAATGACTATACTATAAGGGAACCCTTAGGTCCTCAAGAGCTACACTGTAGGGATACCCTTAGATCCTCAAGAACTATACCATAGAGGTATCCTTAGGTCCTCAAGAGCTATACTATAGGGATACCTCAAGTCCTGAAGGCCTATACTATAGAGGCACCCTTAGGTCCTCAAGTGCTATACTACAGAGGTACACTTAGGCCCTCAAGACATTTACTGTAACCTATAGTATAAGTCTTGAGGACCTAAACGTACCCCTATAGTATAGCACTTGAGGATCTAAGAGTGTCTCTAAAGTATAGGCCGTGAGGACCTAAGGGCATCCCTATAGTGTAGCACTTTAGGACCTAAGCGTACTCCTATAGTATAGCAATTGAAGACCTAAGAGTGTCTCTAAAGTATAGGCCATGAGGACCTAAGGATACCTTTATAGTATAGCTCTTGAGGACCTAAGGGTATCTCTATACTACAGACCTTGAGGACGTATGGGTATCCCTTATCGACTTTAATGTTGACTTTATGAAAGTTTAAGTTTTAAAGTCTTTCACTTTAATTAAAGTTTAAAGTTTTAAAGTGTTTTACTTTAACTTTAAGTTTAGAGTATCTATGCTAAAAGTTTCAGCAATAAAGAGCGAGAATTCGTAGAGAAATCCGCAAGTGTTTCTCATGTATAGTTGAAGTGAAACTTATTGCAAGGCTTATCCTGCTATCATTTCTGGTTTAAATCAAAACTTTATATCATAATCATAGACGCCTGAGATATTCTCACATGTAAGTAATTCTAAAATACAGTTAACTACTGTTTCGGAATTTAAATTAATCCCGAAATGGTAGCAGAATAAGCCTTACAATAAGTTTCACTTCAACTATATATGAGAAATACTTGCAGATTTCTCTACGAATTATCGCTCTTTATTGCTGAAACTTTTAGCATAGATACTGTAACAGTGAATATATCCGCGACATACATCTGAGGTCAGAAGGCAATAGTATGGATAAATAATCGAAAAAGTTCATTTCCAAAAACTTTAAAATGACCTTTTCAAAACCATCTACTATTTTATCACCAAACATTCTTCTATACAAAAACTGATTATTAGAACAACATGTACAGTCTTAGTGAGATAGATTAGTATGAGAATCATGAGATCTGAATAAGCCACTAAGGAAGAATAAGTCCATGGAAATCGTTTCAAAATAAATTGAACATTCTGTCAGTGAAACACACCCAGGTGCAAAAATCGTACGAGGATCATATAAGATCTTATACGATCTTACTGACAATTAGATTTTGTAAGATTCAGATTGTATGATCTTACGAAATCTTGCAAATTTCTTGTTCTAAGATTTAATATGATTCTTATTATAAGATGCTAGCGTCAATCTTATATGATTCTTGATATAAGATTCTTGCAAGATCGGAGGATGGGAGTCTTGTAAGATATTGTAGGATCTTGTCAGACCATAATTTTAAGATATTTCTCATGCAAACTAGTTTTTATAACGATAGGTTTATAGATGTGGATTACTACACGTGTTTAAGTGATGGAATGCTTCCTAATAGAAATATAATTTCTTTTTAAATTGCAAATACACATTTTGTATACAGCGATGCTTATTATAAAAACAGCACACTACTAATCAATTTGATTTGACTTGATTAAGTTTATTATTGTTTTGAATTTTATCTCGTTAAATTCATTTTATCGTTTATTCTTATTGAAAAAAACATTTTTTGTATTTGTTTGTAAAACTGTAATTAATAATAATTCTCTAGTGTAGAGGACATGTAAGCTGACAATGGCTAATATATACTATATATATGAGTGAGAAACCGTTACATTCGTCTTATATTCTGGTATGTTGGAAGAAATTGCACGTCATATATTTTTTCAAAAATACAACTAGGCTTTTTATATTAATTTATAATTCTTCAAAATTATCCAGTTTTGTTTTAGATATTTGAAATTCGTATCGATCTTATTTAGTCTTTGTGGTTTCATCGACTGAATTTCGATATTTCTGGTTTATTTTGACTCAAACTAATGATGAAAAATATTATTTTATTTTACTTTCAATCAATGTGAAAGGAGTTAGTTTCATTTGATGTATATGCTTAACTTATTTCAGTTAAGATATAATTAATC